TACCTGCTGTTGATGACCTTTCTAACCCAGTAGATTTTATAATCAAGATTTACTACCTGCTGTTGATGACCTTTCTAACCCAGTAGATTTTATAATCAATATTTACAACCCGCACATGATAACGTTTATATCCAGTAGATTATATAATGAAGATTTACTACCTGCTGTTGATGACCTTTCTAACCCAGTAGATTTTATAATCAATATTTACTACCTGCTGTTGATGACCTTTCTAACCCAGTAGATTTTATAATCAATATTTACTACCTGCTGTTGATGACCTTTCTAACCCAGTATATTTTATACCAATATTTACAACCCGCACCTGATGACGTTTATATCCAGTAGATTTTATAACCAATATTTACAACCCGCACCTAATGACGTTTATATCTAGTAGATTTTATAATCAAGATTTACAACCCGCACCTAATGACGTTTATATCTAGTAGATTTTATAATCAAGATTTACAACCCGCAGCCGATGATCTATCAATATTAGTTATTAGGATCAAGGTCTATCCCTTACAGCTGATTGAATTTATTTTCCACAAAGTTTTATAAAAACACAAATGAGTTGATGATAAATTTCAGCGATAAATGTCTACACATTTATCGGGAATGAAAATATATTAGAAAAAAAATACAAATTTACTGTTTCAAAACCATTATTTCTTATTATATTATCAACCAGATTCGTAAGCATCTTTACAAGAAAATACTTATACAAACACATGCACTTCGTATCGATATTAAGTTTGCTGATGCAATAGTGATCGTAATAGTAAGTGAGTGAACGGTACAAACAGAATAGCATAAAATATGAGTATTTTAAATCCATTATGAATTAAAAATATATGTAAATTAGACTTACTTTTCTTCTCTCTCGTCTCCTTTCATGCCTGGAGAATTGGAAATCAGTTATTTCTGTTATTCATTCACTGTAGCTTTAGTTACCCTTATATGCTATTAAGTTTCATTGGCTTTTTTCTCGTTTTGTTTTGCATACTGATTAGCATATTTACATACAAACATTAGTATATTTAACATACAAGCATTAGTATATTTAACATACAAACATTAGTATATTTTACATACAAACATTAGTATATTTAACATATTTTTTATTTACGTTTTTTCTAATTTTTTTTTACAGCAAATTGAAACTTTGCAAATGCTTCAAAGAAAAATTTATTAAGTTTTGTTAAGTACTTAACACTTGTAGACTTACTGATACACCAATATTTCAAGAGGAAATACAAATAAACATACACAAAAAAGAAAGGCCTAGCTTTTAATGATATTATGCTTATTTTTTCTACTTAAAGAACGTAACTTTAGGACAATCAACCGCTAATCAAGTAAAAAATCCGAAGTAAATAATTGAAATGCATCCCAAATGGTGTTTGAATATATTTTTTTTTATTTCCTTGCCGTTCAATAGTGTTTACACAATTAAAAGTACAAAGCTTCAAGAACTTACTTTTCTTTATCAAATCAATTTAGAGTAAAATTCTCCAGTTCAAAATAAAACGTTAACTTTTACTTCTTACTAAACTCGGTGATATTTGATCACTTGTTTACTAAAAGCAGCCAACGTTCTGAACATAAATTGATTGTGTTTTCGTTTTCTTTCAGTTCGACTGTTTTCCAAATCGGTGATTTGTTGATTTTTCGTTCGTCAAAATAAAGTATCTTAGGCGAAGCACGAAACTGATAAACGAACCTGCGTAGCCATCATCATATATGTTGGTCATGATTTTGTATATGAAATCTACGAATAAGGTTCCGACCAGAAAGACATTATATTCTACGTCCGTACACTGATAAACGAACCTGCGTAGCCATCATCATATATGTTGGTCATGATTTTGTATATGAAATCTACGAATAAGGTCCCGACCAGAAAGACATTATATTCTACGTCCGTATCATAGTATTTCCACTTACTTCGTGGCTTGTTACTGAAATCTTAACACTTCCGTGGGGAATATATAAGTGGAATAAGGACTATCCCCAGTGCCCCCGCACCCCCCGAGGGGACACCAAACCGTAGGTACCTAAAGCGCACTTTAATTGTGTTAAAAGTTTTGAGTTACGTTGCTTCAGTTAACACTTCCGTAGGGAATATATATGTGGAATAAGGACCATCGTCACTGTCCCTGCATCCCCCGAAACTCGAGGGGACACCAAACCGTAGGTACCTAAAGCGCACTTTAATTGTGTTAAAGGTTTTGAGTTACGTTGCTTCAGTTAACACTTCGGTGGGGAATATATAAGTGGAATAAGGACCATCGTCAGTGTCCCTGCATCCCCCGAAACTCGAGGGGACACCAAACCGTAGGTACCTAAAGCGTACTTTAATTATAATGGCTGGAGACGGCTTAAATGGGTAATGAAGAAAAACTTTAATATAAGTTTAACATGACAGCAAATGTACAACGTTTCGACAAGGTTTTGTCATCATCAGTACTTTAATTATGTTCAAGGTTTTGAGTTACTTTGCTTCAGTTAACACTTACGTATATTAACATTATATATGTATAATGTTATTGTTACGTTTAATTTATTGTACTAATTCAGTAGAACAAAAAGTAATCACTTTAATTTCATCCAGTTGCCAAATAACACTTTAATAATAAATTTTTAAACTTCTTTCTTTCTTTTATAAGATGTGCTAATTAGTTCTGTTTATTTAACCTGTTTTGCATAAGCGCCTGATAGCTTGTGCATACGATACACGTGGCTATTATTACTATAGGTGAGAAAACATTCCGGTGGGCAAGTTTACGAACCTACAGTGTTAAATAGTTAAAAAAAACAAAAACAAGGTCCTTTGTAGTATAGCACGTGTTCGTCTATACTGTAATCAGACAAAACCACACCCACCTCGAAACTCGGGGAGAATAAATATTCTTTTTAAGCATTTATTTACTCTCGAAATTAAAGACGTCCCCTTTTAATTAAGTGAGAAACAAGGATGGTAGTTAAGACTAACTTACCTCGGATTTCTTCTTCTTCTCTGGCACAGAAGTATTTCAAAAAGACATTTGTAGCAGTGATTACGATCAACACAGCCACAATCCCAAACACAATGCCAAGTATGTACGGTAGTTGGATCGTCCCAATGTCGGTGTCTGGAATAATATTACCCAGTTATTAAAATATCATCTACACCGCTATCAGATTCTGTAATGATAATATGCTGTAGCGTGTAATTAAAGCATAAAATATGATTTTACAGTTGTTCAAGTAATTTTAGAGAAACACCCACGGATATACAAGTGTTCATATAGTAGTTGGAAACATTTTATTAACTTAATGATTTTTCTCAGTGATATGTTAATTACGAAGCGTTCGGAATTTTAAAGCTTTTCAGTGCATAATTATTTTGAAATTACCTTCTAAAGATATGTTATTTAGTTTTTGTTTACATTAATCATCTTAGCAACTCTGGTGGGTGAATAGTAAGCTTCCGCTGAGATACACTGGGGGACTTTATTATATATATATATATATATGTATTCGTGGTCCAGGGGATTTCATTATATATATATATGTATGTACACACACACACATATATATATATAAGGAAGATATTTTTTTAAATTATATAGAAATGTATATATATTTATACACACACACACATATATATATATATATATAAACACACACACATTCATACATACACACACACACACATATATATATATAAGGAAGATATTTTTTTAATTATATAGAAATGTATAGATATTTATACACACACACATATATATATAT